TCACCTGGCCGACTACAAGTAGAGAGTCCGAGCATACATCAATTTTTGTTGCTCCTGCCGCCTTACACATTCTTAGGCCGGCCAAGAGGGCTTCGTACTCGGCCTCATTATTAGAGGCTTGAAACTGGAATCTCGGGGCGTACTCAAACTTATATCCTTCAGGAGACTGGCATATAACACCTGCACCGCAACCAGTAGCTGTCGCGCTACCATCCACGAACACTTTCCAGATTTGATCTCCGGCCGTCTGAAGATCCGGCCGAGTCATTTCAGCTAAAAAATCAGCAAAGGCTTGCCCCTTGATTGCTTTTCTTAGCTCAAATGTAATATCCAAGCCTCTCATTTCCAAGGCCCATTTAAGCATACGGCCGCTTGCCTCTAGCGTTGTAAATGGCTTCTTTAAAGGCTGGTCTGTGTAGACCACAATTGAATGTGCCAAGAAGTATGGCCGCAGCTTTTTTGATGCCATGTACAATGCCAAGCCAAATTTTTCAATGGGGGGATACCTTAGCTCAGCGTTATGTAGAACGTGGCTAATAAAGTAGACAGGGATCTGGCGGCCGTCCCGTTCAGCAAGTAGGACGGCACTTAAGGAGTGTTCTGAGATAGCAAGGTAGATAAATAGCTTCTCGTTCTTAAGTGGACTGACAAGCCGAGGCAATGTATGTAAATGGCCTTTTAGCTGTACGAATGCTTCCTCGGCCTCCTCTGTCCACTTAAACATGGCTTTTTTTTTTATGTTTTGGAAGAAATAGCGGCACTTATCACCTGATCTTGACAGAAAACTACCAAGTGCGGCCAGACAGCCGGTCAATCTTTGGACTTCTTTAATTGTCCTTGGTGACTTCATGTCCATGACAGCTTGAATTTTTTCAGGGTTGGCCTCGATTCCACGTTGATCAATTAGGAATCCGAGAAATTTACCGGACTCGACACCAAAGACACATTTCTTTGGATTTAACATCATCTTATGCCGCCTGAGTTCGGTGAAAGTTTCTCGTAGATCCTTCAAATGGTCGGCCGGCTCTTTTGACTTGACAATCATGTCATCAATGTACGCCTCCATATTCCGGCCGAGCTGATCTCTGAAGACTGTATTAACAAGTCGTTGAAAGGTAGCTGGAGCATTCTTAAGGCCGAATGGCATAACTTTGTAACAATACAACCCCTGCTCAGTCACGAACGCTGTTTTTTCCTGGTCTTCTTCCCATAACGGAATTTGATGGAATCCGGAGTATGCGTCCATAAAACTCATCAAGACATGCCCGGCCATCGAATCAACCAGGCGGTCGATTTTGGGCAGGGGAAAGCTATCCTTAGGGCATGCCTTGTTTAGATCGGTGTAATCCACACACATTCTCCAAGTTCCATTCGGCTTCTTGACAAGGACCACATTGGCCACCCATTCTGGGTAATAACATTGCCGAATGAAACCGGCGTCCAGAAGCTTCTTGACTTATGCTGCGGCCGCCTGATTCCTCTCTTCTCCATGATTCCTTTTCTTCTGGCGGACAGGTTTAACGACCTGTTTTACAGCCAATTTATGCACGGCCAGGTCTGGGCTTATACCTGGCATCTCGCCGACATCAAAGGCGAATACATCCTTGAACTCTCTCAATAATTGAATTAACTCATCCCCAAGCACACCCAAAGCTATAGTGCCCACATTGACCGTCCGACTTGGTTGATCGGGGTCAAGCACTATATCCTGGTGACTGCCGGCCGGCTGGGGGCGTAGCTCTTCTGGCCGTCCGACAGTCATTAGCTGCTATGCTTGCTCTATCTTGGTCGCCTTACGCTTCTGGCCGACCTGGTGTGTTGGGAGTGAGGTTCCTTCTTCTTTGGCTCGGACGATTTTGGTCCACGCGCTGTAGGCTTAACCACAAACTGATTGCATTCCTTAGCCATCTTCTGACTTCCTTGGATTGTACCTATTTTCCCGTCTGTCCTTTCAAACTTTAGCAGCATTAGGTGAGGCACAATGACTGCTTTTGCTGCATTCAGTGTAGGACGACCGAGTATGACATTATATCCAGTCAGTTCTTTCACTACCAAGAAGCGGACAACCATATCTCTTCCTTCCCCTTTTTGCCCGAATCGGACAGGTAAGTCTATCCGCCCCACTGGGTGGATGACATTCCCCCCAAATCCGACCAGCGGGTGAGTGATGTCCTGAAGAGCATCCTCTAGGAAGCTTAGATTCTTCAAGGCGGCCAGGCTGATGATATCAGCCGCGCTACCCGTGTCTATCAATATTCGTCCGACCTTCAAATTGGATATCTTCATTATGAATACCATGGGATCATTGTGCAAGGCTTTGACCTCCCCCCGATCGGCCTCACTGATGATTACTTCGGGGAAGGGTTCAGCCTTTACTGAATCCATCTGCATCACCTTTCCCAGGTTCCGGGCGTCCTGCTTGATCCCTTTTATAGTGGGACCACCTGAGGCAAATCCTCCTGATATCACGGCCACAATGCCTGAATCAGTGATGTTGCCATCATCCTCTTTATATTTGTTCTTATCATTCTTCTGTCTTTGCTCGGACGTGTTGTTTGTCCGTGTGTAAGTGAATTTGGACTTCATCACATATGAATTCAGCATGCCCTTCTCGGCTAACTTGTCCAGCAGTCTCTTCAAGTTGATACAATCATTTGTGTCATGTCCCACGTCCTTGTGGTAATGACAATACTTGTTCTTGTTCCTATACTGAGCCGGGCCTCTCAGCGGCTGTGGCTTCTCAAACTCAAACTTATCCTTGATTTCCATCAAGATATAATAACAATCCTTGAATTCAAACTGAGGCTCGTACGCCTTGACCTTCTTGGACTTTTGTGGCTGGCCATCAGGTACCCAGACTTCCTTTCTCTTTTTCCTTTCTTTCTTTTGGTCGGCCGAGTCGTGCTGAGAAGGTTTCTTCTCAGCCCCCTTGGCCGGCGCTTCTGCTTTTGTGAGCGAACAAAAGTCCGTCGCCTCAATATAAGCTTCGGCTTCCCGCAGAACACCTACGTATGTCCGAATCTTTCTCCTTACCAAGTCAAATTTAAAACCATTGTGCCTTAATCCCCGGAGAAATTCAGAGTAAGCCATTTCGTCCGGCAGATTATGAATTTGGGATTTTTCTTGGTTAAATCGCTGGACGTACGAGCATAAGCCCTCATTTTTTTCTTGGACGATTGTCGCCAAGTTAAGGCTAGTCTTTCGAGGCGGTATGTTGTATGAAAAATTTCCCACGAGCAGCAAACTAAGAGTAGTGAAACAATTGATACAACCGGCCGGCAAACTGTTGAACCAATCCTGTGCCACACCTTTCAGAGTGGCCGGGAAACATTTGCACCAAGTAGCATCATCTACGCTTTGCAAGTACATCAGGTTCCTGTACGAGGTGATGTGCTCTTCTGGGTTGCCCGTGCCATCATAAGCTCCCACAAGTACACTCTTCACCTTTGGTGGCTGAGGGGAATTTAAGATATCTTGCGAAAACGGGGGCGGCTTATCTCCCAGAGTAAGTACGCGCATCTGCCAATCGATGGGTTGCGTTTGCATGGACGGTCCAGCCAGATAGGGAGCCTGTCCGTACACCTGCCCATACGGCCCGTACGCCTGGGGGTTCGGCTGCATCAAGCCATTGAACCCCTAAGGAGGCTGATATTGCAATGATTGTGCTGGAATAGGAGTTGGGGCATGAAAGACTGGAATAAGAGTTGGGGTGCGGACTGTCTGACTTCCACTGGAGATGGCCGTGTTGGTATGTTGGGAAAGAGAATGATGTGAAAAATCATCCGGCATAGTCGGGGTTGAGGCCGTGTCCGAGTAGGCGGCGCGCTCCCGCTGCTTCTGCCGAAGGTAATCTCTTGCGTCCTTCCATCGTCTGGACGGCTCAGGCTCCTCTCTTCGAGGCTGCCTACTCCTCCCCCCAGCCGACTGCGTTTTCACCAGCAAGTCAGAGAAATTAGTCCGCGGTACTCTCGGGGACCTTCCAGTCGGCCTTCGAAATGGCGTGTTTCCAGCGTCCGTTGCATGGACTGCTTTGCTGTGTGTCTTCTTTGGATCCCTCTGTTCCTCTCTCCTGGGCGGCTGCCTAGAGGTAGAGGCTCCATTTTCAATTTCTTTTCTGAGTTTGTTAAGCGCGGCCTTAAGAGAGGCAGCGGTAACAGGAGGGTCATCAACTTCTTCAAATGTGGCTATCAGAGAATCGCTAGTACGGATCGTAGGGATTAAATCCTCTACATGTCCATCCTCGCCTGGATTAGGTGTCTGACCGTCTATCGCCATAACGTACGAGTATCCCCACAGACGGCGCCAAATGTTTCGGGTATTTTTTGGATTTCCTGGGATACTGGTCACGCTCTTCTGGCAATGAGTCGGTCCCGCCTGCAAAACAACGAATATTCCGATCAACGGAATATTCGCCTTCGACGATCAAGTCAGTGATCAGAATGGAAAAGGCTAGAGAGAGAAAGTAGAGAGAAGTTGGAGCTATTTAATGCTATGTTGTTTTCAATTGTCTGAATCCCCTCCCATCATAAATGATTGGGGTATTTATAGGGGTGGGACTCGTGCCCCTCTCTAGGGTTTATACCCTAGATTTGCGTGACGTGATTGGCTGTGCAATAAGTGAATGCCACGTGCTACTCTGGGGGCGCCGTTTTGCGGCTTTCATTGATATCTCTCGGGATTTGGGCCCTGACGTTGTTAGGGTTTTCTGGCATGTAGATTATTAAGGGAACAGATGCCCTTAACACATGGCATCTTCTCATGACGACACATGTCACCCTCTGACTGGGCCACATGTCGCGACGAAACTGGCCTGCGGCTTTAAGGGCTCTGAATTAGGTGGCATCTTACACCCTATAACTGGGCCACGTGTCACTATGGGATTGGTCCACGTATATGAGGTATTTTTACCCACAACAATAGCTACTCCATAATTATTTGTAAAACCTAACCACGGTCACATATAAACAAATTATTTTTATTTTTTACACTTTTTAATTTCGATTTTGCCATTTTTGAAAAAACAAAAATAAAAAATTAGTTCATCCTAAAAATTACACCATCAACCGGTTTGGAAAAACCGGAATTAGGTTTAGGAATTTTCCCAATTTCTCCTTCGTTGTTTATACAACTGGTATGGTCTTAGCTCCGGTCACCCCCTTCACTCTCATCGACCTCCATTTTCTCTCTCCTCACTCTTCTCAGTCTGTATATCCGTTAATTTCAATCAAATAAAAAATAAAAACCCTTTTCCGTCTTCTTCTGGCGGGAAAATATACTTCAAAATTCGATTACCCAATTCATTTTTTTTTTTACAGAATTTGATTAGAAATAAAGCTGAAAATCCAAATCAAAATCATGGGTTTGGGTATTTGAGGTGAGATAATTGATGGGATTGTAGAATTACAAAAGGGATATGGAATCTAGGGTTCCAATTCATAATCATAGTAGCATTGATAATGATGAAAATAACATCAATAATGTTAATAATAATATCAATTTAAGATCAGTAGATTCTTACATTGATGGGAGAAATTTAGATGAAGTTAAAAAAGACGGCGAAATCGACAGAATTAGCAACGGTGATCGTGATGCTATTACTGAAGATAGTTTAGATCATGATGAGGGCTCTAATAATATTGTAAGTTCTATTTTTTGGGTTAATTATTTGTTTTATGATTGAATTTAATGGGTTATTCTTTTGATTAACTGCTAATTATATTGTGATTGTCTTTGTGTATGTTACATGTGATTATTTGACAGAATTTTCTGGGTTTTTTTCTTGATTTATTGGAATGTTTCAGAGAGAGTAGGGAAAAAGTTGGGTCACAAAAAATATGGTGTTTTGTGGGAATTGTGACTTTACTTGCCATAAGTTAATGTTAAAGCAGGGGATAAAGATCAAAATTTTAATTATGAATTTTAGTTCAATTAATGTTTATTTGGTCCAAAATGTATAGAATTTTGGAACATGTAATGATTAATATGTCGTGGATTTTGTTGTATACTTGTATGAGCTGAGTAGCTGACCCTTTTGAAACTGTGGATAGAGGGTTTAAAGGTTGAATCTTGACTCGATTTTTAATGTTCATCGATGAGTTTTCAATTTTATGTTTGATTTGCCTTTCTGTGTTTATCCAGGATTGCTTGGATGAGGTATACAAGACCCCAATTCAGATTCCTAACATTGTTGTTGAAGATGATCGATCTAGTCTAGAAAGTAGTGGGTCTCTTAGAAATTCCTGTCATGCCTTAACAGCAAAGGGTAAATCTTACCATATTACATGCTTGTATATGTCTTAGTTTGCTTCAGCATTTGCATCTTTATAGTGCTTTTTTCTTCACTTGCTCAATCAACTTTATATGAATTACATTTGTATTAGATGTTTTGCCAATTGAAACTGCAAGGGCAAGATTCTTGCAAATTGTTGTGGATAATTTTATCACACATCATACTATTGAGAAGCCGGGTGCTTATATTGATAATATTGTTGAGCCTGGAGGTGATAAATCAAACAAGAGAAAGTCTGCTGAAGTTCAATATGAAGGAGATCCAAGGTTTGTTTTGCCGCTGATGTACGTGGCTAATTTGTACGAAACTCTGGTGAGTGAAGCGAACATGAGAGTTGCTTTATTAAATGGTTTGCGTGAAAAGACTATTGGAGTAGCTCTAGAAGCATCTGGCGGGCTCTACAGAAAGTTGACTCAGAAATTTCCTAAAACAGGTAGCATGTTTTAGCTTTTTTTGTTGGCTTATCTCTTCATTGTTTTTTAGTAAGGGATAGCATAAAAAAGAAGAAAAAAGAAAAAGAAAAAAATAAAAATCAAGTGAATTAGTGTGAGATAACAAAATAGATTAATTTTGATCAATTCATATCAGAGGCATTATTTGGGTCGGATACAGTTTCTAGAATCAGAGCCTTCATCTTCTAAATAATATTAAGAACATATGCCTAACTATATAAACTCAGCTTGTAAGCCTTCCAGGTTAACATTGTGTACTTATTTAACTCCATAGACAGTGGGCCTACACTGCTTGTTGCTGGCTAATTGATTCCCCCCACCCTGCAGTCCCTTCCTTGCATTTGGGCTTTGTCCTGCCTAGACCCTTGCTAAACAAGTGTTTATCTATGAAACCAACTAGCTTCTTTGATTCACATCAGCGTCGCTGAATGGTTTGATGCTTTTACAGGAATAGCAAACACAAATTTAAAAATAGTTCAGTAGCAAATGAGCAATTTCTCTGTCCATCTGCTTTCCTATTCAAATGGTATATATTAGCAATTTACACTTATTTGGATCTGAGTAATTCTGATTGCCCAGTCAAGCCAATCAGATGTTACTACTCTTTAGTATTCCTTTCACTGCATGGTAGCTGTGATTGGCCACTGGCTGCATGTTCTTTGACCCTTGCAATATCTATAGTTCTAAGGGTATATCTAATGAAATCATATTATGGTTTGCTCTTTATTTTGTTTGACTCATATTTATGGGGAAATAAATATGTAGCTCTTGTCTCGGTGCCCAGCCAGGCTGTTCATAAATTTCATTTTCTGCCTCCAATGGGTACCCACCTTTGCTTGGTTAAGGAAGGGGTCTTTACCTCATTAATAAATTATCTTATACCTCTATTATTTAGTTTGTAACATTTTATCAACGTGTAATTTCCTGTCGCATGAACCTTTTCTTGGTTAAGGAAAGGGTCTGTACCTCACTAATGAATTATCTCATGCAAGTCTTGTTTAGTTTTACTATTATATTTTTATGTACTTTCCTGTTGCACAAACATTTATTTCTATGTTATAATGTCTTTAAAAGAATTTTTACCGAAGTGTAATATTTTTGATATGAAAGTCGGTCTTATAGCCTATATGGCAGAGGATTGGTCTGTTAAAAAAATCAGAATCTTATGTGTGTTTGAACTAGCCTAACTTTGCAGCTTGAGAAACTAGTAAGTCTAGAATTCTTTTTCATGCTCATAAAAAATGTATACATTATCTGGATGTTTCTTTCATCTTATTAAGTTTATTGTCTAACATTTTATGCATCCTGTGAACATAGGCTCTTATTCTTTTAAACGAAGGGAATTGGCTACTTCTCTCGAAACAAGGACTAGGTTTCCGGAATTAGTTGTCCAAGAAGAGAAGAGGGTTCGTTTTGTAGTGGCCAATGGCTTAGATATTGTTGAGAGACCAACTGTTGTTCCTGTTGATGATGCAGAATGGTTAGTTTCTGTCATTTATACATGCTTGTAGTAGCCTATTGTGGTTACACATGTTAAATAGTTATTAATGTCCTTGCCCAAGTAGTACTACAGTGATTATTTTGCTTTGATAGATCATTTGGAACTTTCTAATCTTTAGATGAAAGAGCGTTTGGAAATAAAGTCAGAAGTGCCTTAGTTTATGAAGATTTAATAATATTATTATACATCTGTAAATTTGACTATCTGAGGCATCTTCCATGCAGTTTAGATTTGGAACACCTTATTTCAGCAGTTTTTAGTTTGCATGAATGTCATGCTCTAAAGTATGTTGGAATCCTTCTTAGCTCGTATATGTGATAGTGTATTAACGGTAGAAAAAAGTTCCAAAGAAAAGCTATATATATGATCATCTATATAAAGTGCAAGTGGTTTATCATCTATGTTAAATAGTGTTCGGGATCTTACAGGTTCAAGCGTTTGACAGGGCGGACTGAAATAGCAGTTACAGCTAGGGACTATAAGTTTTACAACCCAAGGCATAAAGTTAGGCGTGCTTTATCAAACACTTCACCGACTGTCCCTGGTTTGCTTGTAAGCTCATTCTCATCTGTATATGGTTTTATTTCTACAATATGAAACTTGTTGATGAAGCTTGATATATCTTTTCTCAGTCATACAACAGCAACAGTGACCACGAGTTCCAGTCTGCAACAGAGGTATGCTGACTCAACTTGACTTTCTGAGTTCTATATTAAAAACCCGTCTGCTGATAGTGTCTTTAGCATCCCTCGGGCAGTGTGGGTTAATTTTCTGAGTGGAAATTTCTGATTTAAATATTGATATCTTTAGCATACCTTTTGTTTATGTTTATCAACTTCTATTGATAATTGGTTAGGGATCCATTTACCAAAAAAATTACCAGTATTCGAAAATACTTACAGCACTTGTTAGCAGACAGTAAAGTGGGTTAGTCATGCTTAACTGAAATAAGACCCAAACAGAAAAAGTTTGTGAGGTATGGCAGTATGAGTCTAATGTGAAGATAAGAGTATTATCTAGTCCAAAATGAACGCCTTCAGTATATGCTCAAATTGTTGGCCTTACAATCATTCTTCTCTATCTGGTGAGACCTACTGAATAGCCAAATCCATTTTAGGATAATCTTCCAACCTCCTGAACCGAAGTATCTGGTCTCAAAAGTTAGGACCACACCTTTCTTTCCGACAGCAATCTGTTAGTACTTCCTGTCTTTCAGAAACTTTATCCCCTTTTCACTATCCAACTCATATACAAAATAAGTTAATTAAAGATGCCAAGCTTTGGTCTTATGCTGAAAACCACAATTTTTTTAAATTTTATTTTATCCTCTGTGATTAATGCTGCTAAAGTGCATATGGCAGAATCCACGGGAGCAGGAGACACCATCCAAACATTCTTTGGTGACGTTGGCTCGCCAGCCACGATATGATACCATTATCCTTAATCATCATCAGTCTCTTGACCAGAATCAACAGGCTACTCTCTTAGCTTGCACTCATGAAAGTGGGCAATCTTCCCATTTACCCGACATTGCTCATGGCCATGAATCTCCGACTCTTTCTCAGAACATGGCATCATTAGAGTCTCTAGGAGGAAGTCATGTAGTAGGTCGTTTACATGTGATGGTAAGTTTTCTTATATCTATTCATATTACCTGTTTCCGTAAGTCATATTTCCATCTTATTCTGAAGCAAAATTTTAAGTCAATTCTTTCACTAGTTGCTGTCTTATGGGGGTGGAGTGTTATTATTCATGTCTAGTTCTAACTAGTCTAAGCAGTTACCCCCTCAGCTCCCACCCCACTAAATTGCTTACAAAACCCTTGCATATGCATTAACTTTAGAGGAACTCCGTGAGAGGCTGTATTTTGGTTAATACCCAAGGACCTGTGTTCATAGTTCATGCATCAACTCTTAAAGGAACTCTGTGAGAGACCATTACATATAGCTAAATCTGCTGATATTTGTAATCGCTTAGTGAGGCGGATTCTAACACTTAGTCACGAAAAAGATCTTGTAAGGGAGTATCAGAACTATATGGAAGATTTTCCGGACTTATTCAAGGAGTGGACTAGCTTCAGAGTTCAGGCACCCCAGACTCTACACATGCCAACCTTTAATGGATTAAAGGAGTATTTTAGATGGAGAATTGCTTCGTAGTGTGTTTATATAATCTTAACTGCTCCATTTTGCTGATGTTTTGGTCACCTCTTTAAGTTTGTGAGGCATATAAACTTTCAAATTCAAGATTACTTAGAGAATTATATGGATTGAAAGCATTGTCGATGTCAATGTCAATGTCAATGATGCCTTTTAACCAGTAGCCAGTTTCTAATGAGCATGTCCTTTCAGAAGTTTTTGTTCAGTGAGGAGTTGCGGACTGAGGGTTATGTTTTTGCAAGGTTACTGTATTACTATTTTGCATTCCTTAGAAGTTGGCATAATCTTATGATTTATTGACTTCGAAATTCCAGCTTCTTTCTATATGCTAGATACTTTTTCCTAATTACCTGTGATTTATCCCCCCATTTTCCATTTTTCCCGTCTTTTCCAGCCAACTAGTCCCGCAAAGTTTTGTGATGAATGTGGATCTCCGTACTTGAGACCAACTTCCAAGTTTTGCTCTGAATGTGGTACGAAGAGGTTTGGGATATGAGTCGCTCTTGGTAATTTATGCACGATTCTTGTGGCCTCAAAATTCGTTCATTGTTAATTTTTATGTTCATATGATTGAAGGTGAAGCTAATATATGCATAGATATTCATGAACTCCTGAACAATGGTTCTGTTATAATTGCTTCAATAACTCTTGTATACGGCAGACATTCATTAATATTATTAAAAGACCCTCAATCTGTGGATAATTTTTAGGTAGCAAATTTTATGGTAACTTTTACTTGTGTAAATGTAAGGATAACTTTAATTTTTAATGAGTTTAAGGAAAATTTGACTTTTACTAGCTCCATAAAAGAAAGTTGTATTTGTTATGATAATATCTAAATATGGATGACTATTATCCCATGTACAATCTAGAATATTCTAGAGTTGGGTATTTGGTCTTATCCATTGATGGAACCCTAGGAAATGTACATTATATATATCCCGTACTAGATGGAATATGAAATATAATGTAACAATCTTCCCTCATCTCTCTTTATTTTCTATTCCATATTTAACATGTTATCAGCACCATTGCTAGTCAACTGAGTAGGATTACCAAACATTTATCTAGAATCCATATTATTATTATCATGTAAGTATGATCACAGCCCATAACAATTATAATTTAACATTTATCTACTTTTGCATGCTTATTTATTGGAATATCAACATATATAACGAATACAGAGCATGATATATAATTTAAGGTTCCATTTTTATTTTTCTCCATGCTAACATTCTCCCCTTCTATTTCGTTCTTATTTATGCATGATTTGTATCAGGTTTATTTATGCATGATTATAACGTTTAATACATATTTTTGAATACTATTTATATATACTTATCTTTTAATATTATTTTGTATAGTGAAAAATGTCGAACCTTGCCAAGCTCGAATTTGTGGCCCTTGATATTACCGGAAAGAATTATTTATCATGGGTGTTAGATGATGAAATACACCTAGATGATAAAGGGCTTGGTGAAACAATAAAAGAGGCTAATAAGGCAACACCTCAAGATAAGGCTAAAGCCATGATTTTTCTTCGCCATCAGCTCCATAAAGGGCTCAAAAATGAATATTTAACTGTGAAAGACCCACAAATCCTTTGGAGTAATCTAAAGGAAAGGTATGACCACCAAAAAACAGTGATACTCCCTAGAGCTCGTTATGAATGGTTAAATTTGAGATTGCAAGATTTTAAATCTGTTAGTGAATATAACTCAGCTATGTTTAAAATAACTTCTCAATTGAAATTATGTGGAGAAAATATTACTGATGCAGAAATGCTTGAAAAGACATACTCCACTTTCCATGCTAATAATATTGTCCTGCAGACACAATATAGAGAAAAAGGTTTTAAAAAATATTCTGAATTAATCTTGTGGCTGAGCAAAATAACGAGTTGTTAATGAAAAATCATGAATCACGTCCTACTGGCTCTACTCCATTCCCTGAAGCGAATGTGACAACCCATAACGGGAAAGAAACTAAAAACAGGGACCATTCCAGCAGTAGTGGTCGAGGTAGAGGTCGTGGTCGTGGCCAATGGCGCGGCCGGGGTCGTGGACGTGGATATGGTAGAGGTCGTGGAGGTCATTTCACAAACTCACATTCCCACCAGAAGTGGGAACGTAGGGATGAAAAAGAAAAAAGTGATAACAATATATGTTACCGTTGTGGAGGAAAAGGTCATTGGTCTCGGGTTTGTAGAACTCCAAAGCATCTTATTGAACTTTACCAAGAATCATTGAAGAAAGGAAAGAAAGTTGAGGCAAACCTTGTTCTTGAAGATGGTGAAGGTGATTTTGATTTTGGCAATGCCAATCAATTTGATGTTGGTGATTTCCTTACTTCCCCGGAAGGGAATAATTTTGATTTTGACAGTACAAGTCATTTAGAAGTTGCCGATTTCTTCACTGAAGGGAATAATTAAAATTATATTGTATTATGTCAGTTTTAAGTATTAGACTTATGTTTGCTTATCCTAGTAATTTATTTAAGTTTATTTCTTTCGTTGTAATAAGGATTTTTGCTTTATAAATTTATGAACTATTTGAGTGTTTTTATTGATTTATTTGTTTTATCATCTTTATTTTTATGCTTAAGATTTTGACATGTATTTTATTTCATGAAGAACATGGATATTACTCAAGTTCAATTTGCTATGAATGGTGAAGAATTATGTCTTGCTGACAGTGCAACTACACATACAATACTTAAAAATAAAAAATATTTCTCTCATTTGATGATGAAAATGATTAATGTAAGTACCATATCGGGTAGTACAAATATCATTGAGGGCTCCGGAAGAGCCACTATAAAGTTGCCTTGGGGAACTGAAATTAAAATAATTGATGTTTTATACTCCCCATTGTCTCAAAGAAATTTATTAAGTTTTAAGGATATTCGCAATAATGGTTATCATATTGAGACAATCAATGAAGAAAATAACGAATTCCTTCAAATCACAAGTATAACTCATGGCTCAAAACATGTTTTGGTTCTCTAGTGGTTTGTACTACACAAAAATCAATGTTATTGAAGCTCATGCTATAGTAAACCAGAAGTTTACTAATGATTTGTTGTTTGGCATGACCGGTTAGGCCATCCCGGTTCAATAATGATGCGAAAAATAATTACGAATTCATGTGGACATTATTTGAAGAGCCAGCAGATTCTTCATAATAATTTTTCATGTGCTGCTTGCTCGGAAGGCAAGTTGATTATTCGCCCATCACCAGCTAAAATTAATTTTGAATCAATTAGTTTTCTGGAACGTATACAAGGAGATATTTGTGGGCCCATACATCCCCCATGTGGACCATTTAGATATTTTATGGTTTTAATTGATGCATCAACTAGATGGTCACATGTGTCTTTGTTATCAACTCGTAACCTGGCGTTTGCGAGACTACTTACCCAATTGATTAAGTTACGGGCACATTTTCCAGATACTCCCATTAAGACTATTCGGCTTGACAATGCTGGTGAATTTACATCTCAAGCTTTTAATGATTATTGCATGTCCATTGGGATAAATGTTGAACATCCTGTAGCACATGTTCATACACAAAACGGTCTAGTAGAGTCATTAATAAAACGTATTCAGTTAATTGCTAGACCATTGCTTATGAAATCCAATCTCCCAATTTCTGCTTGGGGACATGCTATATTACATGCAACAACACTAATTCGCATTAGGCCAACAAGTTATCACAAGTTCTCCCCATTACAATTGGTTTATGGTCAGGAACCAAATATTTCCCATCTAAGAATTTTTGGATGTGCGGTTTATGTTCCAATAGCTCCACCACAACGCACTAAGATGGGTCCTCAAAGGAGGATGGGGATATATGTTGGGTTTGAATCCCCGTCAATAATTAAATATCTTGAGCCTACAATAGGGGATTTATTTACGGCTCGTTTTGCAGATTGTCATTTTAACGAGTCACTTTTCCCAACATTAGGGGGTGAAAAGAGAGAGCTGGAAAATGAAATTAAATGGAATGAATTATCATTATCCTATCTTGATCCTCGAACTAAACAATGTAAACTGGAAGTTCAAAAGATAATTCATTTACAAAGTTTAGCGAATCAATTGCCAGACTCGTTTGCTGACCCAAAAAGAGTGACCAAGTCGCATATTCCAGCTGTTAATGCTCCATTTAAAATAGATGTCCCGGAAGGACAAAATAAAATTGCTAATGAGTCTAAACCACGCCAAAAACGTGGAAGACCAATAGGTTCCAAAGATAAGAATCCTCGGAAAAGAAAAGGAGCATTGATTGATGATGGTCAAATTGAAGAAACAATTTCCGAAGGATCTCCAGAAGAGACTTTATACATGATACAAGAAGAAATTCAGGTACCTGATAATGAAGAAATTTCAATAAATTATATCATGTCTGGAATTACATGAAACCGAAATCAAATCGACGTCGATGATGTTTTTGCATGCAATGTAGCATTAGATGTTATGGATAATAATGAGGATCATGAACCAAAATCTATTGAAGAATGTAGACAAAGAAATGATTGGCCAAAATGGAAAGAAGCAATTGAAGCAGAATTAAAATCTCTTGGAAAAAGAGAAGTATTCGGACCAGTAGTCCGTACACCTAAAGGTATAAAGCCAGTGGGATATAAATGGGTCTTTGTGCGAAAGAGAAATGAAAAGGGTGAAGTTGTAAGATATAAGACACGCTTAGTTGCACAAGGATTCTCACAAAGACCTAGTATTGATTATGAGGAGACATATTCTCCTGTGGCGGATGCAACTACTTTTAGATTTTTGATTAGTCTGGTAATAAGAGAAGGACTTGACTTACGTTTGATAGATGTAGTCACAGCTTATTTATATGGCCCACTGAATAATGACATTTACATGAAGCTCCCAGAAGGATTCAGGCTGCCGGAAGCAGCAAAATCTAGTTCTCGAGAACATTTCTGTATTAAATTGAACAAATCTCTTTATGGATTGAAACAATCTGGGCGTATGTGGTATAACCGTCTAAGTGAGTATTTGTTGAAAGAAGGTTATAAGAATGATCCTATCAGCCCATGTATTTTTATAAAGAAATTTGGATCAGGATTTGTTATAATTGCAGTGTATGTTGATGATTTGAATATCATTGGAACTCCTGAAGAGATTTCAGTGACTGTCAATTATTTAAAGAAAGAGTTCGAAATGAAAGATATAGGAAAGACAAAATTCTGCTTGGGGTTACAAATAGAGCACTTAGAGAATGGAATCCTTGTGCATCAATCAACATACATAGAAAAGGTTCTTAAAAGATTTTCTTTGGATACAGCACATCCATTGAGCAACCCTATGGTTGTAAGATCACTTGAAGTAGAGAAAGATCCATTCCGACCTCGGGAAAATGATGAAGAAATTCTTGGTCTTGAAGTACCGTATCTTAGTGCAATTGGAGCACTAATGTACCTTGCAAGTCATACACGACCTGATACATCATTTTCAGTTAATTTATTAGCAAGGTTTAGTTCATGTCCAACCCGAAGGCATTGGAATGGGATTAAACATTTACTTCGTTACCTTCAAGGTATGAAGGATATGGGTTTATTTTTCCCAAAGTTGTCCAAAGAAAATTTGATTGGTTTTGCAGATGCAGGTTATTTATCTGATCCTCATAATGGTCGGTCACAAACTGGATATGTGTTCACATATGGTGGTACTACCAT